ACAATCATTTTATTCTATTTTAAGATTTTCTGGGTGAAGAATTTAGGCAGGACTCTTATAAGCAATCCTTCTATGCCATATGGTATCAACTGGGATGCCTTAGCTATGGTAGTCTACTCTGGAGGTTTTATGACAACTTTATTCATATGCATGGCACCTTGGCAGGGGCAGCTAAAAACACTGAGTTCAGCTAGATCTCTCTCCTTTCATTTACTCTAACACCCTCTCTGCATGTCTCTCTACCACAGTAGTCCGGCGTGTTACATGGTGTCTTGAAGCTCCGATAGCATGCATTCCCAGAAACAAGAAGTGGGAATGGTGTCTCTCTCAAGGCCTGAGCCTGAAAACAGATACAACATCTCTTATGTCAAAGCAGTATGGAGCCCGTCCAGAGTCAAGTGGGGATGGGTTACATAGACTTTACCTCTTGGTGAAAGGGGTGTCACAAAATTTGTATCCACCTTTAACCTGTCACATTAGGAAAAAAAATAACTGTATGGAAACACTTCGTTGTTATGTGCCATGTTTTTCATCATATCAGTTTCACTTTATACCTATAATTAATTCATTAAAATAATTGTCACACTGCATTTTGAGGCAGTGTAGCGGTTAAGAGTATTAATAGTTAGACCAACCTGGATTTGAATCCTAGTTTTACTTCTTACTGGCTGCATAATCTTGGGCAAGAACTCAACACTCTGAGCTACAATTTCTTTATAAAATGAAGGATTAATAACAGTAGCTAGTTCACGGTCTTCTTGGAACATAATTACATAAAATGCTTAACACAGTACCTAGCACATTGTAAGCATCCAGCAAACAATTTGGCTGTTGATAATAATTGGTGATACAGCAGTGTAACTACGTGGACATTTCAAAACTAGACTATGAGGCTGAGGATTTTGTCTTAGTCATTCCTTAAATCCCAACATCTGGCGCAGGGCCTGGCATCAGACTATTGAATGGTTGGACATATGGATGACATATGGCAGCATAGAAATTGTTTGTGCCTGTAATGTAACTCCCTGGCTCAAATGTGTAAAGAGAATGGGGGATAATTATACTGCCAGGTAACTACTCTAGGTAGAATGACCACAAGTTGGCTAGAGAGCATGAAAGCTTAAGACCACCCTGAAATATTACTTGGAATCATGCGGTAGAGCTGCAACTCAGAGGAGCAAGCCGGCCCAATTGACACACAGCAATCATGGCATTTCCAGTAAGCTGGGACTTTGGGAAGTTCATGAATCAGAAGATGAATGCAAACCAATATATTATGACACTTCCAGGCATAACAATACCAAGTCAGAAGGGCTGCAGGGAAAAGGTGCTGGAAGGAGTGATATAAAACCAAAACAGAACAGGATGTTTATTGTATTGTGGGAAGGACTTTGGAAGAATACCTTGGCCTTTTCCATAGCCCTTATATAAGACAATTTCAAGTCTCCTTAAGAAGTCTGTATTCCTAACATAAATATTAATACTATGTAGTTACTGATATACTCCTCAAGCCAGGCTGGAAGTCTCAAAGAGAGAGATAATCTCTCTGGCGTCCTATTCCCAATGTGTTTTAAATTGTTGGACTTCTTTGATACTTCAGGTTCTGCAATACTTGTATAAGTCCCATGACTTCAAAAGGTTATTTTCTTGGTTGACATTGGAAATTCACATTGATTTGGGTGCTTAATGGTTGAAGATAAACAAAAGAAATAATCAATGTGTTAGGAGCCTTGGAAATCTCATGTGCAGCCTGCCCTTTAGCAAGCCCTGCTAGGCAGTGTAGCCTATGGAACTCTTGGCATGTTGAACAAGAGGAAGAAAGGGAGTTTATCTAGTCCTTGCTTTAGTCATATATCGTGAATACACTTGCTTTTAAATGAATTTCATAAAATATTAATGTAATCATACCAAACAGAGTGGTGAGTACATCAGTCAGGAGTTATATTTATCTTGTGTATTTGTTTTTTGTTTGTCTCCATTTGTTAGTAGGTAGTACATGGAGATGGGCATTTCTTTCTCAGCCAAAGTGGCAGGACTTGCTTAATGAACTGATGTTTCTGTAATCTGTGGTAAGGCAGAGTTGTGAGTGACAGAGCCGAATGAATAACAATGAGGAGGCAGGCAGAATAATAAAAAGAAGACAAACGTTTCAGTTGGAGAGGGAAAATAGATGGAATTGTTTAGTTGGCACACAATTTAATCTGATCTTTTCCTACTGAAAATTAAGAGTTTGTAAATGGGTGAGATAATGTTAACAATTTTTCCAAAATCATAAACACAAGGAATCAAATTTTCCAAAGACGTAAATGGCCTTTTTAACCACAGTGCTCTTATTCTTCAGCATAGGAACACAGAGTATCTGTGGCCTAAGTCCTCCAAGATGGAAAGGAAGGCCTGGAGCCCCTGCCCCCACCTGATAGAGCCTGACATATAAAAATTTATCACAGGGGTGCCTGGGTGGCTCAGTCGCTTAAGCGTCCGACTTCGGCTCAGGTCATGATCTCGCGGTTCGTGGGTTCGAGCCCCGCGTCGGGCTCTGTGCTGACAGCTAGCTCAGAGCCTGGAGCCTGTTTCAGATTCTGGTCTCCCTCTCTCTCTGACCCTCCCCTGCTCATACTGTCTCTCTCAGGAATAAATAAAACATTAAAAAAAATTTTAAATAAATAAATAAATAAAAATTTATCACAAATGCTTGTGGAATGTGGGAATGAATACCCAAATAAGTGAATTTATTGGTGTGTGTATGCATGTCTTGAATGGAAGGAAGGAAACTTACCTACCAGGACTACCACCTATCATGCCAGAGGTTTTAATATCTGTTCTGTCCTTTCATCCTTTGAGCTAAATGTCATCATTTATCCCCACTTTTATCAAAAAAGAAATGGTGATACACAGATATTAAGAAACCTTCCACTAGTATGTGGAGAAAAGTAGAGACAAGAAAGCCACAAGGAGGAAGGAAGGGAGAGAGAGAGAGTACACACATGTGCTCACATGCATGTGTAAGACTGCATGTTGGGTGAGATTGCAAGTGAAGGCTAAAAGTAAATTTGTTTTCAGAAAAATAAATTTTTCCCTAATTTCTTGGAAATTTCTTGAAAGAAATTTTTTTGTTCTCAAACATATCTAGGGTCTTGATATTTCAGCATGACAGGCATGTGGAAGATGGGGAATGACCTAGCTCTTGTGGACTGGCTGTGCACATGTGCTACCTGCCTGCCTATCTGCCCAGTCACAAGACTCACCCCTACTGGGCCTATTGTACCTGAAGTTCCACTTCTATAGGGAACACACATTCTTCCCACTGTTAAGATCCATCCTTCAACATCTTGGAGAACCACCCAGGGTATTCTGAGCCTCCTTGAGGAGGCTTATAAGGATTGCCCCCTCGTGCTTTTGTGGTGAGCAGAGTGAAGTTTTTGGGATTCAGGCACATTACTGTTACTGCAACTGCCCCTACATTATCACAACTCCTTATGCAGTACTTTCTTTGTTTGCAGCCTTCTGTGCATTCTGTAGCAGAGGACAGAGCTGAGAATAGGGAAGTAGAATGGATTTCCTTCTCTCAAACTTGCATTTTGATATAGAGACAAAATTTAAACAAAATCAGTACCACCCATAGACCCAGGAAAGAGGGGCCTTTGCCCTAGGCCTGCATTCTCAGAGGACCTCCTGCTTTGAAATACCTGCCTGGATATTTTCTAAGTCCCCCCACTGAGTGCTAAGTTAGTTAGTGTGATCAGGGTAGATGTACTGAGTTCAGAACAGGTCCTATACAGGTTCTAATATCAAGAAGCACCTTTCTCGCAATTTTTAAAGTTCCTCTTAGTTGTCTAGGACTGACCAGGGCCTGCAGTGTTGTCTTAGCAAGGAGTCCCAATCTCAGCCTGAATCTGTGTGGACCCCAGTTGTCATTTCTCCCCTTTGGGGCATTCTCCAATCCTCTACCCCACATGTGGAGTCAACCAGATTCTCCAGGAAGCTTCAGAACTCAGGCTTATGGAGTCCTCTCAAACTATGTTCCAGGAAGTAGCCTGGCAAGTAAATCTCTCCAGCTTCCTGGTATGGTATTTCTTTCATGGTATCACATGAGATTGTGCCACCAAAATAGTGTTGATGTTCATTTGGGGTAAATCGAATTATGTATACAGATGAGCCCCACAGAAAAATATTTGTTTGGGGGCCCCTACACATCCTAGAAACATCCCTGAATAAAACAAAACATGATGCAAAATAAAACTTGTTGTTCAGTGGCAACAAGTATACAACAAGTTTTCAACACAGAGTTGAGAATGAACCAGAATTATCTGGAAAAAGTTCTTCAGGGAGGGGGAGACTTAAGGCAGGCCTTAAGTATGGGGAGAATTGGGGAAAACTCCAGTGATTCCAGTCAGAGAGAACAATATGAATAAAAGCATGGAGAATAGTTATTCATTGAGTATTTTTGTGCTATGCATTATGCTAAGTGCATTGCATTCATTGTTTTGTTTATTCATCACAAGCTCCCTATAAGGTAGGTGTTTGCAAATGAGGAAATGGAATTTCAAAAGATTCATCCTGTTAAGCAAACAATAAAGTAGGACTCAGGTCTGCCTTATCCCCAAAATTGTATGCTCTTAATACCATGCTACCTGCAAAAAGACAAAAAGTGTTAATAGGGATAGCAGGGAGCCTTATCTGAATGGAGCAGAGGGTATGTGTTGCAAACTAGTAAAGGCAAGATTAACAAACAAGGCACATAGTATGAAAGGCCTTGGATGTCAAAAATGTGATATAGAAACAAATAGACTGGTGATGCAAAAACAAACAGCCCTATCCCAAAAGGAAAATGCACAAGTAGAATATAGTATTTAAGACCTAATACTAATACCATGTTTTCTTAAATATTTTGCCTCCATCTTAGAAAGACCCTTGGTTTGAAATTTATAAGGTAACATTCTGTCTCCACTTGGCCTTGCCTGGTGTCATTTATTGTTCTCTCTTTCCTCTCCTTTTTTTAGACTTTGACCCTGCTCTTGGAATGATGACTGGAATTCCACCAATAACTCCAATGATGCCTGGCTTGGGAATAGTACCTCCTCCAATTCCACCAGATATGCCAGTAGTAAAAGAGATCATACACTGTAAAAGCTGCACACTTTTCCCTCCAAATCCAAGTAATATTCTGCTTTTTCTCCACACAAGTCATACTGTTTTGGTGTCTAGGAACACTTTCTTCTTTTTCAAAAGAATACCCTAGGGCTCATAGATGTATGTACAGAAGCTTCACCTAGAAAAAAGAAGATGGGGAAATTTTCTCTTATTAGCCAAGGCTGAATTTTATGCACAGAACAGTAGATTTCTGTGTGTTGGTTGCAGTACAAATGATAAAATGTGTTTCTACTGCCATCCGGTAAGGAATTCAAGTGTGTTCGTACAGAAAGAGACACCTGACACAAATTGTTCAACACTGTCATTTACAGACTGTCTTTTTCATAACTGGCCTACATGCTGATAATGGCAGTAGTAGAGTGTGTCTAAGCCTGCCTGAGGCACATGAGAATATATATTGGGTGCTAAGAATCCTCCATTGCTCCTAGCTATTTACACATCACTCAAACTACTGCTATTCAACTGATGGGCTGCAATAGACAGTGGAGTGAGGTTTAATTTGCTACGAGGGCAAAGAGGAATACTGAGACTAAGTCAAACCACTTGCATCCATTCAGTCAATGAAATTCATGTGGAAATGATCTAGGGATCTATCTTGTCAGTAATGAATAGGTTTCTCCTTAGACTCTTAAAAATATCTGCAAATATATGATGGCCATATTTCACTTAAAATATAGCAGCAATAATTGACTCAAGCATTTTTCTAGATCTATTTGGGGTTTTATTTACTTTAAGTGATCAGATGTTATTTCTGCATATGACCCAAGCCTCATTAAAGCTATTTCCACAGTTCTGGTGGTTCTGGGTGACCTACTTAAGGGAGCTGCCACTACAGTGCTAAAATTAAAGCTGTTAAGAGACACATTCAGGGTTTAGGCCATAGATCAAATGAACTTGCCTTATCACAATAAACATGAACTTTTGACATGTGACTTCAGACAACTCTTTCATCTCCTACCTTACACAGAAATTAGTTAATCATGGAATCAGGCCCTGGCAGGGACCCAAATTCTACTTAGTGTAGTCTATTCATAGCTAAAAGGACTTTAGAATCAGTCAGGGTTGGTCAACCATATCATCTCAGCCCTTTTTGGTAGTGAGAAATGTTCTTAATGCTTTCTTCAGTTCATTGAACTTGATTGTCAGCAGGGTACTTCCTTCCAGGCCAGTAAGAAATCTAGGAGGCTAACATCTCAGAGGACTGAATTAGTCTAGTGCCTAGATGAATGAATGGCACTGGTGTACCCTTGTCTCTTCCTCTTAGTGACACTGTCCCTACAAATGGGCAATCGACTTTTTTCCCTTTCATCCAATGTGTTGCTTTTCGATTAGAGAAAGCTGTGAATCACTAATTCTACCTTTTTTCACTTCAAAAGCCACGAATTTAGGCATTTCCAGTGTTAAAACCTCTTGCTTATGTAAAGATAGAATCCTGCTGGTTTAATCATTCATTTATCATATAATCAGCCTAATCTAGGCTTTCATTATCTCAATCAAATCTAACATAACAGGATGGCTCATACCCTGTAATGTCGAGGTTGGGTACAAGAGATGACTTTACAGGATATTCAGTCTCTGAATTTCCAAAGAATAACAGATACATAGTGTATAACGCATAGACCACATTGTTGAGTAGTCTTTAAAGGTATGTAGACATACATGGCTTAAAGAGGCTCTAACTTTTGATAGTCTCTAGGAAACCGATAAACATCCCTCAAATACATTCATCTTTCCCACCTACAGTCATGCCTTCTTGAATCTGAACTGGAAGAGCCACAGAGTGAGAGGGAAGCATTTTACCTTCACGGCTCAAGTCTTTTGTTCTTCCATCTCCGTGTTAAGAATACGGACAGAGCAATTAGTACCAGTAAAGTGGTGGCTTCGGAGAAGGAACCTAGCTTTGGAACTGAATTAAAAACTAACAGTCCTGACACAGCTTAAAGTGAACTGGTGCTCTGTTTCCTGTTCAGAACTTGGATTTTGTCAAAAGGGGGCTCAAGTTAATTGTGTGGGGGAAACACAATGGCTAATAGAGAAGACTCCCTCAAATTTGGTGCTGAAAGCATAGCAAGTGCCATTTTTGTTCACAGCCCCACACTGTGAAAGTGTGATGGGAAGAGCAGGGATTTGGTACAACTGAGTCACTTATCTTCTCCAGAGCTTACCAACCTTTTCTGATAAGGCCTTGATTATAAACCCCAGTACTTGGGCCTGCCTCCAGTATATTCTGCTTCTGTCTCTGGTATATTCTCTTGCACTCAGTGGCCTCTCAGCAGTAAGGTCCTGTGATCTGGGTACTCTCACAGTTTCTTTACGGACCCATCCAATCTGCTTCTGTCTTGTTGCTTCGTTAGACAGTATTTTTACCATCAATTCCTTCCCTCCTCTCCCACCTGACACTTTATCCAGGTGCTTGTCAAATATACAGAACCCATAAGCCCCAAGCTTCCTATTGCCTACAAGCACCAAGTCGAACTCTTGACTTCAAAATTCACTGGTATGCTTCATCTGACTGTCTTTAATCCATTATTTCTACTTGCCACATACCCATCCTTTAGTCAAGTGCAGCTGCTTCCCAATACCACACTACTCTCCAGCTCAACTATAAGCCTACTTTCTCCTGGAACATTTCCACATGGAAGATATGGAAATTAAAACAATAGTTAATCATTCATTGCTCTAATTCATTTCCACTTAAATATTGAGTGCTAAGTCCAATGGGTAATTTTTAGCCTTTAAATTACTTCATTTCTCTGCTATTCTTAGTACTAGGAACCCCTTCGTCCTTCTTGAAACATTAGGTGATTTGAAGGTGTAAGAATGACTAAGACCACTAGAGAGATTATATAGATCAGAAAAGGATGACAAGCTGAGTGCCCTGAGGAATTCCAATATTTGAAAATGTAAAAGAGAAAGAGGAGTCTGCATTTCTGTATACCCAGTAGCTGCAAACATCCTCTTTACTAGCTGTTTCCAGTTATTTTCCAATTCTCTTTTAAGTCTTTTTTTATGTTTTTGCCCCACCCCTCTATCAGAATGTCCCTTATTTGAGAACTCTAGTGACCAGGGGCACCTGGGTGGTTCATTCAGTTAAGTGTCCAACTCTTGGTTTCAGCTCAGGTCATGATCTCACAGTTGGTTGAGATTGAGCCCACATCATGCTCTGCATTGACAGCATGAAACCTGCTTAGGATCCTCTCTCTGCCCTTCCCCCACTCATGCTGTCTCTGTCTCTCTAAAAATAAATAAACTAAAAAAAAAAAAAAAAAAAAAACTAGTGACCTAAATCCTGTAGTCAATTCTCAGTTCTCGTCCTAATTGACCTAAAAGTCATAGGCAACACAGTTGATTACTTCTTACTCATTGGTATACTTTCTTTACTTGGCTTTCAGGACACCACACTATTGGTTTTCCTCCCACTTCAGCTGATAGACCTTCTATATGAAGAGGTTGCTTTTGGAATCTACTGTCAAGTTAACAGTAAATGTGGAATAAATGGTGGAATATCATGTGCTATCTGTGTACAGGGATGTGGGAAAGCACCCAAGAGCCAAAAAAAAGAATGATTTTTTTCATTTTACCATATCAGGCCAACCTCATTTTAGCTCCTAGGGCTGGGTTCTATAAAGAAAATTAGAGAAAGTAGGTAAAATGAGAATTAATAAAACTTCACCAGTCTTCTGATTATTTCTAATCAGTTGGAATTACATTAAAATATATCTGACCCCTGCTGATTTTTAGGGGGCCTTCAGTCTTGGGAGTCTAATAAAATCAACTAAAATACTTTGCAGTATGTAAATTCTGGCAAACCAGTTAAGTGATCTGTGATGCTCCTTTGAAAAGCAAGATGCAAGTGGTTTATAGGTCCTCCATGTTGCCCTCTGACTCACTTCTCAAAGATCAGCAGTGACTCTGATCTTAATGCTGATAGCCCCAAAAGAGCTCCCCAGGGTAGGTGCTTATTTGTAATTAGAATTTCTAGAAGCTCCTCCTTTTCCATTACCAGAGACTAAAGTTTTTTATACTCTCAGTTATCTTGAATCATTGTACATAGACTCTTCTTCTTCTCTATCCAGAGTAGTGATTGGGGTGTTACAGTAATTTAATTTAGCACATTACCTGATTAATAGGTGGACTTTGAATTTGCTCTCCTATGGAGTTATCATTGCTGTGCCCAGATCACTGTATTCCAGTGGGATTAGTAAATCAGGCCCAGACAATAAAGTGCTTTGAGCTGTTAATTAAAGAATAAGAGCTGTCCACTAAGGAAGATAGTACAGCCCATTGCCTTGTTTGGTGGCATACATCTAAATCTCAGTGAATGCTATCAAAGAGGCTTTCTACATTTACCCAAGGAAAACAAATAAACCCCCAGCATTCTTGACACTATTCTTAGTGGCTTTTATGCTTTTTTACTTAGCAGTTACCACAGAATAATCACAGCATCTAAATAGAGTGATGTCTTCATCACAGAATTTTTGAATCCCGCAAATGTAGTCAAAGGAAAGAGCCTTTGTATTTTCGGTGTTATATGTAACTGCAGCAGTAACCAGGCATTCTTTAGAGCCTCTCAGTGGACCAAAAGGTAGGCCTACCTAAGCAAACTTAAATAATTTTAAAAAGTGAACATTTACTTCACAAAAAGATTCTTTACCATCAAATTCCTTAAATAGTATACTTCAGAAGGATTCTATAACAGGATTTTAGTCTAAAGCCCTTGATTTGAAAACATGGCTCTAACTGTAAGGGTGCTCTTGAAAATTCTTTACCTATATAGTCAGTGGCTAGGTTGTGTTCCATGGTCAAAACCATACGTGTCTTCACAGCTGTAGATTCCTCTATTGAGAAGAGTGATTCCTTCCCAAACCAAGCCTTATCTGGAGATCTGGATAAAGCAAGGAGCTGGGAGTTTAAAAGTCCAGGTCTTAAGCTGCCATTTTACACCAGTCTTGTAGTAGTGCTTTAGAAAGCCCCAGATTGATAATCAGAAAACCTGGGTTCTATAACAGTATATAATAATAACACTACAATAACTACCAATTGGGATCCTATCAAAAGCTAGGCATTTTAGCACTTGCAATATAGACAGTAGATTATCAACTGTCCTACAAAACTCCTTGTAAGGTAGAGGACAGTGTCCCTATTTTAAAGATGAAAGAATTAGGTTCCCAGAGGTTATGTAATTTTCACAAGGTTATGCACTTACTAAGTTAAGGTTTAAATCGAGGTTTGTCTGTTCCAAGTTCATGTTCCTTCTTTCTATCCAATTTGGTGACCTTGAATGAGTCATTCAACTTCACTCAGCTAAAGTTTTTCTTTGTAATATGAGAAGTTTAGACCAAGTCAGTGGTTTTCAATCCTAGCTACCGTTAGAGTTGCCTGAGGAGCTTTTAAAAAGGTAATGCACAGGCTGTACCCCAAACTAATTAAATTATTCTCTGGAGTGGGCCCAGGAATTTTTTGTTTGTTTGACTCCCAAGTTGATTCTAATGTGCTGTCGGTGTTGAGAATCACTGGAAGTGTGATGTTAGAAACCTTCCATTTCTTAAAAACTCAGAAGCAAAAGTCTTAAGAGGTTCTGGACCTCATTTCCCTTTTTTTGGCTAAACCACATCATTACAGTGCCCATGACTAAGACATTTCACATTCCTGCTTGCTAGGTTATCTTCCTTTTCCCTTTAAACTTCTCCTATGGAACAAAAAACCAATATAGTGTGTTTTTGAAATTACAGAAATTTTTTTAATTAACAGAAACTTTTTAAGTTCCCTGAATCCTTTTATCCCTTTTATTGACTAAATAGAAAGGAAGAGACCATCATGAGAACCTGATGATTCTGAGCCACACTGATAAGTCAGACAGTGGTAGCAAAAGGAGGAAGCTAGAGATGTTCATAACCAAGGAAGCTCCCAAATCATCTGCTTGCCAACTTGGATAAGTGTCAGGTGGGGGCCTTGGCCCAATCTACAAGTGAGACTCATTTATTTTTGCATGGGAGCAGTAATCACTAGTTGAGCTCTCCAAATCTTGAGCTGGGAGAATTATTGTGAAGAGCTGAATGGAAAGAATAGATTACACCAAATAAATCCTTGCAGATAACAAAACTAACACACACACACACACACACACACACACACACACAAACCCTTGACCATCATGCTTTGTTTTGTTGGGCTATGAACTGTAGAATTTTGCTTAGAAAATGCTTGGATACATATAAATAGCAACAAGGAGCTGATAGATCCAACAAGCTTTATGTATGAGTGAGTAGAAAGCATATTTTTTAGCAGAGGGAGAATCATCTCATTAAGTAGGTTTTTAATGACTCTCTATAGCCAAATTTATCTCATTTTAGTTAATGATTTCCCAGATGAGCTTACTTTCTCTGCTCTCTTTCATACTTCCCTCTAAATGCTGCACAATTGACTCTGGACCTCATCTCTCCCGCAAGGAATTTGAGGAAAGGCTTGCTGATATCAAAAGACAAAAAAAAAAGAAAAGAAAAGAAAAAACTAAAAAAGATGGTTTATAGTCTGGCTTTGTCAGCCATATCATTCTGACACTCATAAATATTTTTGTAAATGTTTACCCTGTCATTGTCAAATTAATTCTGAAACAGTTATTTCAGTAATTATGAACAGAGGGAATTTAGTAACCATCAACTAAATTAAACAACCCTTTTCTCAGAGACCTTTGTTCTGAGAATTCCTAAAAGTAAGAATTTAAAGTGAGTGGGATCTCCCCACTGTCTTCTTAGCAGAAACAACCAAAAATTGGGTATAGCTACATTGTCACAACAAAAGTAAAGAACAGAATTAACGAACTCTGGATGAGACAAATGGATCTGAGTTTTTATCGTTTAGATGTCATGATCACCAAACCATTGAAGAAAATGATTTTCATGTGCTGTGGAGCACCTTCGAGGCCACATTCTTCTCATACTCTTAGGCAAAAGTCTGATGGGGACATTAGGGCCATCTCTGGGACATGTTAGATTTCTATGAGGTCTGTCCCAAGCAAGCATTTTAATTTCAAATGCTTTTGCAATTCTGCTTAGATCTTCCACCTCCTGCAACTCGAGAACGCCCACCAGGGTGCAAAACAGTATTTGTGGGTGGCCTGCCTGAAAATGGAACCGAGCAGATCATTGTGGAAGTGTTCGAACAGTGTGGAGAGATCATTGCTATTCGGAAGAGCAAAAAGAACTTTTGTCATATTCGCTTTGCTGAAGAGTACATGGTGGACAAAGCCCTCTATCTCTCTGGTAAGTGTTTAGTCACGAGCAGTGTGCCCACCGGCACAGTATCCTCTCTTGCCTTCAGAGATGGAAAATGAATGTTTTCACCCAACTTCTTCCTTAAAAGTTCTTTGGTAGTTCTCAATTGTCTCCATTGTCCAAAACTCCTTACTTCTAACATCTGAAGGCCTTGATTATCTATGTTACCTCTGAGCACCATCCATCTCCCAGTTCTTCCCTCACATACCATGTCCTAACCACACTGAGCTAATTCTAGTTCTCACAATGTGCCATAAGGTCTTACGTTTTTTCCTCTGACTACAATTATCTTTTCTATCCCACCTCCCATATATACATCCCCAATGCTCCATCTCAAGCATAACCTCTTCTGGAAAGCTTTCTCTGACTTCTTTCCCCTCTGTGCCCCAAGCTGGTCTGGGCACCCCCTCCTCAGCACTTCCAGAGCACCCAATGTTTCCTCCTAGCATGACACCTATAACACCATGCTAGAACCGTCTCTTTCTGCACCTGTCTCCCTGACCAGAGTATTAACTCCTTAAGGGAAGGGACTATGTTTTATTTAACTTCGAATCCCCAGCATCTGGCACATAACCTGGCACAAATGTAGATGCTCAGAAATAGCTACGGAAGTCAGTTAGTTACGAAATATTTATTGACAGCTAGACAGAATACTAGGTTCCTGAGGATACAGCAAAGACCAAGATAGACAAACTTCCTGCCATCAGGGATATTGCATTATGGAGATGGTAAAATATGATATATATGTAAGTAATAATTAATATTGGGTATCAATAACTGCTATGAAGAAGATAAAAATAGCAAATGTGCCTAGCATTGTTAGGAAAGCAAGTCTTCCTACTTGAATTTGAATTGAGATCTGAACAATATGAAGGGGATTGCCATGTGAACATGTGGGGGATGAGCATTCCAAAATAAGAGAGCAAGTTAAAGGCCCTGAGATGAAAATGGACTTGGCATGTTCAAGCAAAACAGAGAAGGTTAACATGACTGGAGCAAAGTAAATGAGAGAGAGGCAGTAAAGGGAAATGAAGTCTGAGAGGTAAGCAATACCAAACCATGTTGGGCCTTATGATCTACAGTAATGAGTTTATTATTCTGGATGCAACGGGAAGTCATTGGAGGATTTTAAGTAGTAGAATGACATAATCTGATATACATTTTAGAAATATCACTTCTGAGTAAGTAAAGGACAGACTGAGGGGCATGGGCAAAGGTGGTTACTAGAAGATAAGTCAGCCAACTGTAGCATTAGTCTAATCTAGAAGCGACAGAGTACAGATAGTAAGAACTACTTTGCCTAAAGTCTCTTGTTCATGGAAGTTCAGATTTAGGGAGACTGAGGCAAGGCATTACAATTGGAACGATTTCTGTTAAATATTATAAAGTTAAGTCTGTTGCTTTGGGAGTCGTTTCAAGACAAAGTTTCATGACTGATCCTTTGCTTATTTTGAATTGGTGTTGTTCTCTATGGAGCAGTGGGCAAATATGACTAAAGGCAGAAGACAGGGTAATCAGAAAGGACATAGAACAATTAACAACTTCCTTGCCTAGGATTAAAGATTTGGAGGAACTGGGTCCAAGTGCTAGACATATTGTGGTGTCAGAATCTTTTCATATAACAGGCACTTGTTGGACATCTCCTTTGTGTAAGCTATTGTGCTGAGTGTTGTGCAGAGAAGAAAATGAGTAAATCCTAGTTTTTCCCCTTAATGAGATTAGGGTTAGTATGCAGTCATACATTTATTTGTTAAAAAAAAAAAAACATTCAGCACTAGGCATTTCTCAAGACATCAATAAGACACACTCATCGCTAATGATAAAATTTAAAATAAGGAGTGCTGAAGTATGGATAAAGTGTTTGGGAAGTTCAGAAGAGAGAAGGGGATGGGGACAGGGAGAAAATATGTCTAACTCTTGACTGTGGGGGTATCGAGAAAGATACCATTTGGACCAGGTTTTTGACAAAGAGAAAGCATTTGCATGTAGACAATGGGGCAGAGATACAGCAAAAGCAAAGGTTCAAAAGTTGTAAGTTTTAACAAACATTCAAGGAAACAATGAGTAGTAGTTTGTGTACTAACTAGGCATGAAAGGAAGAAAGAAAACATCAGCTATTAGCACACTTTGAAAGGTTTAACAGTTGGGTCTTTATACCTCCAGTAATAGGGAAATGTTGAAGGAAACTTTGAACAAGATGATTGTTTCTGAAAGATTAATCTGACATCTCTATAAAAATTTGATTAGAGGAAAGAAGAAAAAAGATGAAGGGAGATCAGCTAGATGTCTGTTGCAACAGGCAGAGAAAAGGTAATGTGGGTTTGAAGAAGTAGGCTGGTAACATGGGAAAGGAGAGGAGCAGGTAGTTGTAAGATACTCTTTTTTATCAAGTTTTTTTTTTAATTTTAATTACAGTTAGTTAACATACAGTATTATATTAGTTTTAGGTGTACAGTATAATGATTCAACAATTCCATACATTACCCAGTTCTCATTACAAGTGCTCTCCTTAATTCCCATCACCTATTTCACCCATCCCCCCCACCAATCTCCCCTCTAGGAACTATTACTGTGTTCTTTATAGTTAAGAGTCTGTTTCTTGGTTTGTCTCTCTCTTTTATTCCCCTTTGCTGATTATTTTGTTTCTTAAATTCCACATGAGTGAAATTATATGGTATTTGTCTTTCTCTGATTGACTTATTTCACTTAGCATAATACTCTCTAGCTCCATCCATGTCATTGCAAATGGCAGTATTTCATTCTTTTTATGACTGAATAATATTCCATTGTGTATATATACTACCTCTTTTGTATCCATTCATCTATCAATGGACACTTGGGCTGCTTCCATAATTTGGCTATTGAGATGTAGAATACTCTTGTTACATTTGCTAAGTGCTATAAAATCTAAATACTAAAGATTTGACAGCACTTAGGAATGATGATAGAGCATTCCACAATAGACTATTTTAATAAGAACTTAAAGGTCTTAAAACTCTGAACAGCTGTACATAAAAGATGACATGCTGCTCAGGAGGTATCCATCTAAACATCATTGAAATCGGCTCTCTGGCAACAACCACCTCCTGGAAACATTCTCAGGGCTGCCAGAGGAAAGAGGATTGCAATCAGTGATGTGAAAATAACTAAATTTTGCCCTTTAAATTTTAACCTGCTCCCTGAAAGCTCATAAGGGCTAGAAATCTCCTGAATTGCTTGGCTATTCTCCCACATTGTAAAAGGAAGAAGTTAAACAAAAATCCTTTAGAAAAGGGGATGGGAATGTAGAAATAACCACTTTTTTTTCTGTTGGGGTTTGAGCATCTTTGGGAGCTGGCAGTGTGCACGGTGCACCAACCTCATAGCATCACAGTACCTGTTGTGTGTTTATACCAACCTTTCATATCATCCTCTCATTTGATACTCTCCATGATCCTCAGAGAATAGGCAAGGTAATCATTAATAACCAATTTTTCAATGGCTCTGATGATCAAATAAGATGCCTGAGTGTGAAAGTGCATTGTCAGTTGTAAAAGGCCCTAGCAGAATGTGCTTATTTGAAATGCATTTATTCTTCTTCTGTCTTAAAAGGATGTGTAGCAGTTTTAGTGTTAATGGGCACTATTCTTTGTAACAGCTTTATTGAAGTTTAACAATTGACATACAATGAATTTCACATATTTCAAAACTACAATTTGGTATTAGTGACACAGGCGTACATCTGTGAAACCATCACTACAATCAAAATAATGGACATGTCCACTCCCCCCCCAAATGCTTCCTTCATACCCTGTTTATGATCCCTTCCTCCTAACCCTCCCCTTTTCTCTCCCCACACAACTACTGGTCCATTGTCTGTCAGATTAGTGTGCATTTTCTAGAGTTTCATATAAATGGAATCATATATTATGTATACTCTTCCTTGGTATAGATTAAAATTTCCATTTGGTATCATTTTCCTATGCTTGAATTTCCTTTAACATTTTTTATAGTGCAAGTCTGCTCCTGATGTATATATCAAAAAGAATTTATTCCACCTTTCTTTTTGAAAGATAGGTTCTCTGAATGTAGAATTCTAGGTGGACAGTTTTTTTTCCCCTCAGATGTTACTTCATTTTTTTCTTCCTTGTATTGTTCCCAATAAGAAATATGATGTTATCTTTTTGTTTCTCTGCGTATAATGTGTCTTATGTCTGTAGCAGCTTTTAAGATATTCTCTTTATTATTGATGTTGAGAAATTTGATTTTTATGTGCCTGATGTAATGTCCTTCACGTTCCTTGTGCTTGAGTTTAATTGAAATTCTTAGACCTCTGAGTTTTCATTAAATTTGGAAAGTTTTCTGCCCTTATTTCTTCAAATATTTTTTTCTATTCCCTCCCCTCTCTCCAGTCAGGGCTCCAGTTGGGCTATATTAAGCCTCTTGAAGTTGTCCCATGCTTACTGGTACTCTGTTCATTTTATTACAGTCCTTTTTCTTTGTATTTCATTTTGCATAGCTTATATTGCTGTGTCTTCAAGTCCATTAATCTTTTCTTCTGCACTAATTTGCCATTGTTTCTATTCAGTGAATTTTTTTCAACTCAGACATTGTACTTTAAATGTCTAGAAATTTGATTTTAGTTACTTTTTTTTACTTTTTTTTTTACTTTTTTTTTACTTTTGTGTTTCTAGTTAATATGGTTGAACTTTAACTTCTTAAGCATATGAAATCCAATTATAATAGTTTTTTGGTGTCCTTGTATATTAATTATATTATGTGTATCACTTCTAGGTCTGTTTTGATTTGTTGAGTTTTTAAATCTTTCTTATGATTTTCTTCATTCTTTGAATATTGGGCAATTTTTATTGGATACCAAACATTGTGAAATTTACCAAACATTGTGAATTGCCAGATATTTTTCATTCCTGTAAAGGTTCTTGAACTTTCTTCTGGGATGTAGTTAAGTAACTTGGAAAATCTTTTCTCTTTTTAGGTCTTGTTTTTTAAGTTTTGTTCAGCAACACCAGAGGAGGATTTAGTCTAGGGCTCATTTTTCTCCACTAAGGCAAAACCCTTCTAACTACTCTACTCAATAATCTATGAACTATTCATATTTTTCTGCCCTGACTGGTAGAGAGAGGAACTATTCCCAGCCCTGTGTGAGCTCCAGGGATTGTTACCTGTAATGCATAAGTAGTTTACACACACACACACACACACACACACACACACACACACACGTGGGCATCAGTGTACAGCTAAAGAATAGTAGAGGACCCTCTGCAGATCTCTGAAGTTGCTTCTCTATATAGCTTTCTTCTTTCTAGTATGCTGCCATACAAACTCTGTCTTCCATAGTCTCCCTGGATTCCCAGTTCAATTTCCTCAACTCAAGGAGATCACCGTACTTTGACTGAGTTCCCCTCCCTGTGCTGAGAATCCCAAGCAGGCCCCATGCTACCAGCTCAGAGCCTGACACAGGGCTCAAATCCATGAACCATGAGATGACCTATAAGGCTCATTCTTAATACCATTACCCATGGACCTTCTCTCTTACCTCTGAGGTAAGATGGTAGATAGAGGAATAGAACTCCTAGGAGCAAGACTGACCCAACCCATAGAATAGCAAACTGTTATCAGAAGTGAAACTACAGTCCAAGTATTTTGATGGTTCACCTAGCTTAGCTAGTAGTGTGAAGAGAATTATGTGGTTACTTAAAACTGCGGCATTTACATCTGAAACACTGAACTTGGAAAAGTACTTACCTTTGCTCACCCACTGAGCTGCTCTTGTACTCTTCTCCCTCCCATTTGTGCACTTAGGTTACCGCATTCGCCTGGGTTCTAGCACTGACAAGAAGGACACAGGCCGGCTCCACGTTGATTTTGCACAGGCTCGAGATGACCTTTATGAGTGGGAATGCAAACAGCGCATGCTAGCAAGGGAGGAGCGCCACCGTAGAAGGATGGAAGAAGAAAGATTGCGCCCACCATCCCCACCCCCAGTGGTCCACTATTCTGATCATGAATGCAGCATTGTTGCTGAAAAACTGAAAGGTATAGAAAGCACTTGAGCTTCATGATTAAAAGAACTCTTTCCTTTGAGGAAATTTAATAAATACATTTGTACCATTGGCAATTATCCTTTGAATTTCCCACTAACAGGTTCTAAGCATTTCTTATGTCATACTCTTACAGATAGAGAGGTGTACCCAGTAACTGAAGAACTAGAAAGATTTGTCCTTCACACCTGTGTTTCTGATCCTCCACTGTCTCAAGGGATGGTGATTTTCTCTCAACACATAAAATGACTAGGATGAAACACATTTTTCACGCTTTTCTACATCAGAGAATTTTACTTGTGATTCATGACTGGGGACCTGTAAGCATCCCATTTCATTATAGATAACAAATTAGTTTTGAATTCTAAATCAGAACAATAGAACTTCATGTGACCCTGAAAAACTCTGGTAAAATTCCCTTTTTACAGATGAGAAAATGGAGACCCAAAGAGTGTTCACAGTGTACATTCTTAGATGACTCAAAGACAACTACCACAACCAAAAGAGGACTTCTTTAATCACTTAAAATGGCCAACTTATTTCACATGGTGACTATGGAGACTTTGAGATATTACTAAATCAGACTATTCTCCCTTTAGTATTTATTCCTGTTCCCCCTGCTTAACTCTCAAAACCATTATTCTAATTTAACATTAATTGTTCTGCCTGGTCTCCTATATTAGTAGTTCAAATCCAGTCTTCCTCATTCTCCAAGTATGGTTGATTTTATTGGATGAATGCTGGTGTCTCATTGATCTTATTGATGATACTAACCCAGCTCTAATGGTATGAATTTTCCCTGCTTCTTGTGCTCTGAACTCAGCAAGATGTTGCTAATTCCACTTTCCAAATAGGTCTCACTCACTAAACTTGTTTGCAACATATAGCCTAAGGGATTCACACATTTAAGAAACCCTTTGTTTGGATTGATTTTGTCTTCCTGTAAGAGAAAAGAAGAGAGAAACAGCATAGAGACACAGAAATAATGGTACATTTTGAAAATCTAGAAAGACTGAAAGCATTGGTGAAAAAGTCATGTTTATATGACACCAAACAAGACTGTCTGAATTTGTTTTAAAGAATGAATTTGCAGGTTGTGTAGAGTTCATGCAGAAAATAAGCATCAAACATAAAGACTCTATGCAAGTAATGAATCAAAACCCTGTTCTCAAGGGGAGGTTTACCTCTCATTATATGTCTGCACTGAAAAATGGCAAAAGACAAGAAGTTCAAATCACAGTGAGAGCTATTTCCACTGGACATGAGGGTTTCTGGCCAGAGAAGCATGTGGAGCCCCAGAACAGGCCTTCAATAGGATGCTAATGGATTCTCTCTCTCAGGGGCCTTTAACAACAGAATATATTAAGTGCCTATCTCGGGAGGCTGGACCAGAAGCTTTGGATAAGCTGTGTTACTACTTTAACATTAGAGAATAACTCCTAACTAGATGCAGAAATTTACTTGGAGGGTTCCTCAGGCAAGAGAATCAGGATGTGGAGAAATGTAGAAACAGAATGAATTGCATCAAAATAGATTGACTGGGACTGAGTGAAAAGCCTGGGGCAGTGGATTGAATGCAGGAGTGATGCTATAAAAGGTAAAAAATGTAAGTGTTCATACCTAAAGAACTACCCATTTAACACTTTCTTAAAGCTCCTACCAACACTGTAATTTCATGGATTCAGGACAGAGTTACTATCAAATTCAAGTTAAACTGAAGACACAAGTTTACTTTTCCTTATTAAAAAAAAAAAAAAAAAAACACACACACAGGGGGGCACCTGGGTGGCTCAGTCGGTTGAGTGTCTGACTTCGGCTCAGGTCATGATCTTACGGTTCGTGGGTTCGAGCCCCGCGTCGGGCTCTGTGCTGACAGCCAGCTCAGAGCCTGGAGCCTGCTTCAGATTCTGTGTCTCCCTCTCTCTCTGACCTTCCCCTGCTCATGCTGTCTCTCTCTCAGAAATAAATAAAACATTAAAAATAAATAAATAAATAAATATTTTAAAAAACCAGGACTGTAGCATTCTGAAGTTCTCTCATTGCTAATTTGCACATTACACACAGGCACACACATACAATCAGAGAGGTTAAGAAATTTGCAATATGTGAAAACTATATCAGTAAAGAACACTTTTAAAAAAATAGAAGCAATTCTCTTTCTGAAAATTCTTCATAAACTACAACCAATCTGACCACTTTTTGAGTCTTTTGTTCTTGCAGTCAGCCTGCCTGCCTGCTGTCCATGTGCATGCATGTGCACGCACATCTCCTTATTCAGCAGTTCATTTAACAACCACTTCCAAAAAGCCATGGTGGCCTCCTTGACAGCATGTTGGCTAGATACAGATATGGTTACTTTTAATGATTTGAAAAATCTCTTTTTTCAGATGATTCCAAATTCTCAGAAGCTGTGCAGACCTTGCTCACCTGGATTGAGCGAGGAGAGGTGAACCGCCGCAGCGCCAACAACTTCTACTCTATGATCCAGTCAGCCAACAGCCACGTTCGCCGCCTAGTGAATGAGAAAGCTGCCCATGAGAAAGACATGGAAGAGGCAAAGGAGAAATTTAAGCAGGCCCTTTCTGGAATTCTCATTCAATGTGAGTGGAAGTCGCAGTTCTGTGGATGGGTGAGAGGGCAGTTCACTTAAGCACCATTTTCTCCACACAGGAGCCAGGCCTACAAAGCCATCCTATGTCAAAGGACAAGGATCTCCTCTTCACTTCCTTGTGCTCTTCTTATATTGCCAAATGCCTGAGCTCCAGTTTAATGGGATTCATGTAGACACCTTCTATGTTCATTTTTTATGGTATATCTCCTTCAGCTCCTTAGAAACACTGACAGCTAGGCCACAATCCCATGCTTTTACTCTTGCTTCTTCTCAAAGTAAGTTATAAGCAGCTCCAGGCCTCAGTGGAAAGTTTGGTATTTCATTGCTAAAGTTAGAATAGAGCATCAGCATTTGTAAGCTTCTCTGCTTCAGATTAGCATCATTATCATGTTTTTCAGGTACTACATTTCAGTCAAAGTGTAATTATGCTTCCCAGGGTGATTGCATAAAAATTTGCTACTTCTGCTTGTTGCTTTTGTTACTTTATTTTCTTTCACTTTTTTTTTTCTGGATGTTATTGACACTGAGTCGGATGGGAAGCCACCAAAATGGCCATTTTCAAAAAGTACTACTCCAAACCTTTCTATGGTCTCTTAAATGAGATAGATCAGAAAAATTCTCATGATATTTTTAGTTCAACATATTATAAAATTATACATTCACATCTTTTGAGTGAGAACTCTATTCACCTTAAGAATAAGGACAGAGTTTTATGATTTGGCTTTTAAACAATTAATGCCCACTCTTTTCATATTTGTCTTCCCGTACTTGACTCATACATAATTAGGATTAAGGAAGACTTCCTTCATTTTCCATTTTTGTTTTGAAAATATATATGGACATGGAATCTAGGCAGAGAAAGCACATGTTTTTAGGATTTCAAAATAAATAGAAAAAAACAGCAGCAAGCAAGCAAGGATTATAAATCCTTAAATCGTTAATAGGGTATAAGCTGAGCTGTTAAGAAAAAAATAACACCTCTGGATTTTCTTATTGTGAATACCCACCCAGGAAGAGGCTTTTGTCCTTTTCCTCCTTTCCCTTCTCTTGAACTGGTTAGGAAAAAGTACCAGAATATTTTACACATTTCTCTGTTTGACGTTTTAAGAGACTCTGAATAATGCTCTTTAGGACTGCACTTACACAGTATTCTCCCATAAAACTTATATTTCTCCAGTCAACAAGCCTATCTACATAGACTTAAAATAGATTCCATTCATCTCAGGTTCTGATTTGATGCCTCTGGTTAAATATACCTCAGAATAATAAAGAGATGGATTCTGTTGAAGTGAAGCATGCAGGCTCATTTTGGAAGGCTAGTTTATGCAAGAAGCCAGTAGTCAAAAGGAGCTGGTACAGTTCACCACTCACTGCCATTCCAGGCTGGGCCACTAGTACTAAATCACATTAACTTCAACTCTTGCCTCTCCTGCCTGAATGAATACAGACTGCCTCTATTAACACTTTAGTCACCATTTTACCCCAAACCTTCTGGAGTTCCCTTGTTTCGTTCTGTATATTGATATCTCTACCTTTGAGTCTTCCTTAAGATCATGATACCTCAACACACGTAAACTTTTCTGGTCACAACCATAGTCTAGTGGTGTCATATAGAAGATACAACAAGGCTAATGCTTCTCTTATTTCTTTTTTCCTCTCTTTTACCATCTCTGGATGATACTCGGGCCTGATACAACTGCTGATCTGATGCTACAGTTGAGCAGATAGTAGCTGTGTACCATTCCGCCTCCAAACAAAAGGCATGGGACCATTTCACAAAAGCCCAGCGTAAAAACATCAGCGTTTGGTGCAAACAAGCTGAGGTTGGTAACTTTTTACTCTGGTAGCCCCTCAGGGGGACAGTTTATTTCTTTAACAAGTTATTGATTTGGAGTTTAGTCAGAATTAAATAGCGCCAAGCTCCCATGGTCACAACAAGGCTCTAATGAAACACTGAGATATGCTCTATAGCCTGTCATTGTGACCAGACCACATGCTGCCAAAAGTGTAATAAATGTGCACGTTTTGTCTTGAGCGCATTCCACTGGATAGAAACCTTAGTAGTGAAAGTGTAGCTGTGATCATTGTAAGTTTATCTCTCTAAGCTAGCTAATCTTGAGTACACCAATAATTACTGACCTGTGTGTCTAGCGTTAATAATATTAGGGCTATCTTACATTTATTAGAGCGTCTTGACAGTTGAGGCTGGAAGCTGCCTGGTGTTACATTGGAACATTGAAATTTCAGAGCTTTTATCAAATCCACTCAGTCATCTTTACAGGTGGCAGCTTTAAAGGTAACAGAGGGCTCTGATTTCAGATTTAGGTTGACACACAGCTCTCCACTTGTGCTCAAATGACTTTTAGCATAGAATATGTCTGATGTGATTAGATTGCTATTCTGAGTTCAAGATTAAAAACCAAGATGGGAGGTTTGCTTTCATGGATCTGCCTTTGGCATGATGTTACCTATACTTCAAGTTCTTCTGTTCCTATGGGCAGCTTCCTTACCCAGCCCTGACACTTCTGATCTGTGTATGCAGCAACTTTTTCAACTTTGTTTCTGAGTCCTCTTTGCTAGTGTGGTAGCAGTCCCATTATGTCTATCAATGCATGTTCTATGCCTTAACGTTTATATAGCATTTGTAAGGCATTTACATTTTATAAATCACTTTCACTACAGTTGCCTCACCTATGTGAGCCTCCCAGTAGGTGTGGTGCAGTGGAAAGTACACTGGACCTGGCGTCAGAGAATCTGGGTCTTAGCTATGATATATTGCAGCTGTGTGACTTTGACCAAGTTAGTCAGCTTGTCAGTCTCTATTTCTTCACCTGTAATTTGGAGATAATAAGGAAACCACTCTTGCAGGATCAAATGAGATAAAAGATGTGTAGAGTTGAAAATGTAAATGCTATATAAGAGGGAAATACTATTATTTCAGTTTATCATTAACAACTCCATAAGGGAAAATAGGTAAGTATGAAAGCCATGTTTTACATGTGAGGAAACTGAAACACAGAAATGTTAAGTGATGTACACAAAAGTACACAGCTAGTAAGTGGTCAATTCAAGACTAGAAATTCTTCTTCTCAACTTGGAGTGTTAATGTAAATTGTCTTGCACTCTTGAGTGGGTCATTTAATCTTTGTGGACCTCAATTTCCTAACCTATAAAATGAAGATATCAATATTCTTTCATGAGAAAAATGACATAGTTTGTGTAGCAACAGTTTGAAAACTGTGAAGAGCATTTAGAGGAAAATATGACAAATCCTGTTCATAAATTGATAGTTTCTGAGCCATCAGTTCTGGCTTAGGAACGGGATCTGGGAGTCACTGGGGAGAAATCCCTGAAGACATCAGCGCAATTGATAAATAGAGTCATACAAAGTTAGTAACATTTTAATTGTTTTTAAAAAGAGAATTTGGAACAAAAAAAGGATATGTTGTCTTACACTAGCACAAAATGATTTTAGAATCCTAGGGCTACCCAAAGTTGTTGAGCCTCAAACAAACAAAATTCAACAAATGGTATTTGCACTCAGGGAGCTAGAAGGGTAACAAAAGTCATCAAAGGGAGGAGTAGAGTTCAGTACCCTAAATTTAAAATATCCAAACTATTTAGTTTGAATAGTTCAGAAGAATAAAAGTCGAGAGAAAATGCTCAATATATCTTATAATTATAGGAAAGCAGTATTAAGTGTCAACCTTCTCTTCAATACATGTACACCTGTATCCATTCTCAGGGTCGGAAGAAGCCGTCTGAACTGCCCCACCCATTGCAGAAAGCCCCGCTAGTACAATATTATCTTTTCACAGGAGGAAGGGAGTCTCTGATTTGAGCACTGATTTGCTCAGACCAACCCCTCCTGTAAATGACTTTGCAATAAAATATTTCCATTAATATTATTCATCAAGTCTCTCTAGTTATTATCAAGCCTACCTATCTGATAGGTATATACTTGAGTTTAATTATCTTCTCAGTAATGATAGCCAGTAAGCTGGACATTTCTCTGGGCCTATAGAGAATGAGAGCTATACATCCTATCACTTAATATTGTAGCACAGCTTCTTTGGCAGAGTGACAAGGATAAAGTACATAGCTAGCATGACTTGCCAAGAGCTTCATGTTTCATGATGTATTTCATAGACTTGTGAAAAACCAGAAAAATGCTTCCTCCCTACTGGATTGGACTAAATTAAGGTCCACCTGGAATACCTCAATCTTGATAAGTAAAACTACTGAGAGTGAAACACAGCTTATGACCTTCCTCAGGCATTGCATTTCCTAAACCTGAAAAGACCTCTTCTACTTTACATTGGTACCTCTTTAAATCATGACTTTTTTTAACTTCTGCATATTTTAACTTGATAATGGGAAACTCTAAAAACTGAAAAGAGGTATCCTGTAGAAAATGACAACTGTCCTCTTCAATTGGGGCTGTCTGTTAGCACCCCATAGAGAATCAGAGCATCTCAGTGACTTAAATCAACTAGACTAGCTTTTTCTTGGCCTGTGAATCAAAGCTACAACTCCTAAGTCATGTGTTTCATCAAGGTGGAAGTTTCTGATATTAAGCCTTTTTTCCCAGTTGCCTTTGGGAATGACCTAGCCAGTAACCTCCTCATGTCAAAAAGTACCTGCTCCTGTCTTAGTATCATCCTACCAGCAGTCAACAGTGTCTTACTCTGGTGAGAGAGAGGTTATGGAGTAGGAAGAAAAAGTCCCCATCTTCAGGGAGCTTAGGCACTCACGTTGGTAGCATATGCTGGGCATACTAGTTTCCTAATGAGTCTTTTTCATTGGTTTACTTTCCTGATTTATATGTGTGTGAGGCTCCTGCAGATACAATTGGAAAGGGTAATAAGAGAAGGTTAAAGGCCCTTTCTTAACTAAAAGTGAGTGTCTACAGTAACTTCACTGACAGTTCTGTGTATTGTAAGAACGTTTTTTCTACAGAACCATTTAAAACCTGCATGTTACTCTCACTAAGAGGCTGGCCTAGATTAGAAGCTAAACCTTGGATGATATCTAGAAACTTGAGCCATAGCAGTAGACACTAGAATATACTCCCATACATCCTCCCCAAAATGAGATTTTATACCATCAAGCCAGAGAAAAAGGGACTTGATGATTGCTAACATTCTTATAAAATGAAATACTGTGACTGCTAAAATAGCTTTCTCTCTAGATTTCCAAGCCTGCCATTCCAAACTCTGAAGAGCTGTTTGCAGATAGATATTAAAGTCATCTGCATAGCCTTGTGTTAGGACCTATGTGTACTAACACTAGCTATTAGCTTTCAGCCATCAGAACACCTACTAACATGATTTGAATCAACCTTATTTTTATTTCCATACATATCATACAATAGGCATTGATTAAGAACCTGTATTTTTGCTTTCCTTCATTGTACTGAATGATATCTCAGATTCAAATTTCTACATAAGTGTAGAGGCTATCTATTCCTTTCCATTCCTTCATCTGACCCCTTCCTCACCAAGTAGGCTGTTAATGTTGAAAGTCTAGGTAAGTACAATTTTGTTACACAATTAATAAGGAACTTTGCTTTACTGAGAATCATGTTCTTATCATAAAACATGAGTAAGATGAATTAAAGTTCATATAACTTTTTGTGAAACTATATGGATAATGTGCAATGACTGTGATTTGCTTACTTTGTGATAAATTTAAAATGTCAGCTGGTACAAAGGTGATTCTCTCCATGCATTTTATGCTGTTTCAGGTTTTAGTTTGATTCTATATAAACGTTTCTTCTCCATTGTGGAGCAGTGTGTGACTTTCTAAGTTACTATTAAAACAAACTCAAAGCCATTGTGATGCATTTTTAGAAACCACTAACAGTTTGCTGTTTAAATGAAAAATATCACAGATTGGCTGTGGGCAGGAGAATGGTATAGGAGATTTAGGAGTACTGTCTTACCTTTTTTAATATAGTCTATTGGTGACATGGCCCAGTCAATTTCAGGTGGAGATTTACAAATGAAAACTTTTGGAAAATGTCTTTGCATGCCACTACCATTCTTTTGGTTTTAGGACTGGATCCAAATGTCAGGATGGGAAAAGGGGCAAATCTCGGAGGTAGCTACTTCCCTTTCTGCCTCCACTTCAGTGGCTCAGAGCCCTCCTCCTACCTCCACCTATGAGCCAAGCTAGGTAGAGTCCCTTCCTTAGGTAAATTGTACCTTTTAGTCCTTCACTCCAAAGGCATTTATTAGGGTTTGCTTCCCAAAGTAGAGATTTTTTTGACCCAAACAGAAATAAAGAAAACAGGTATCTTAGATATCAAGTGCTTTAATGGTAAGGCTTTCAAAGAATTAAAAACCTACTTCTTTATTTAGGGGTACTGTCAGTTACTAAATGCTCCCCAGAAGTTTACTTTACTATGGTATCCTATAACCTATAATGTTCTCTTTGCCTTTATCTCATTTATGTGACTTGGTACTGGGATATTTACAGAAAAGTAATGATACAGGGCTTAGTTTCTTTGTAGCTAAGGGGGATTGCCTAGTGGTTAGAAGGCTCTAAGCTCTGCCACTTTGCATGCCTTACTGAACAACTGAAAGCAAGCTTCCCCTTAGTTTTTCTTTCCCTCATTTCACTATCAGCTTAAAGGAACTGGTAACTCTTGTTCCTGAAATATTTTCAGACATTGAGGTAAAATTTACCCATGGATCTTTATATTTCTGGAGATTTTTTGAAGATGTGAAAGACCTCTAGATAAGCTGCATCACTTAATTATTGAACTTTTTTTTTTTTTACTTCTAAGAAAAGATTATGCTTTCTTGCCCAACTGGAAACAGAAAGATATTTTATGGATACTGAGCAGCTACTGGGCATGTCTTAGCTTTCAGTTAGATCTCCCTGCCCTGGGACATTTCCCTAGAAGGAACACAATTTATTCTTCTGAGAAACACAATAACTTTCCCAGAGTCAGATGACATGTCTGTGAATTGAGAGTTGGTCTCTGCTTACACCCACTGATAGGCTACATTTTTGTTAGGCAATGAGGAGAACCACAACTTTTCCTGATGCAGCAAGTTGTACAGTATTTGAATTTGCCAGTGTCAGACCTCATTATAATCACCTTTACAGTAACAGCTCTTTGATGATAACTGAAACCCAGACTCCCAAGACAGAATGAATTCTTAGAAATGAGCAATGGGGGAGAAGAAGGGGTGAAATGATGGGGGAAAGGGAGAGAGGCAAACCATGAGAGATTCTTGAATGCTGAGAAACAAACTGAGGACTGATGGATGTGGGGGGGAGGGGGGAGATGGGCAGGGCGGAGGGCACANGGGGGAAAGGGAGAGAGGCAAACCATGAGACACTCTTGAATGCTGAGAAACAAACTGAGGACTGATGGATGTGAGGGGGAGGGGGAAGATGGGCATGGAGGAGGGCACTTGTGGGGATGAGCACTGGGTGTTATATGGAAACCAATTTGACAATAAACTATTTGTAAAATAAAAAAATAAAAATAAAAAAATAAAAAAGGTAAAAATAAAAGCAGTGAAATTAAAAAAAAAAAAGAAATGAGCAATTCCTTTATTCTCTATGCAATGAGTTTGAATAAGATGTAGCAAATCTCTCTCTTGACACAGCCCTTTAAAGTTCATTTTTCTCAAGCAAGTCATTATTTTCTTCTATTTAAGCAAGGCCCCTACAGCACATGAGAGATGCTATGTTGGTATTTCTATTTTCTATTACTTCTATTTTTCTTTACTTCAGCTACCAGTGATAATGCTGAAAGGCTTGAGTTTTTAAAAGATACTTTTATTTATCTTTAGTGAAAACCTATCTTAATATAGAAATTATTTTTCCTGGTACAAGAATAAAAAAGGAGGCTATTAGTTGAGATAGTGATTAACAATAGCATTAATTATTAAGAAATCCATTTAAAATATTTATAATCTGCCTAAATTGAGCCAATTTTCACCAGACAGCTTTGGATATTTCCTATATTATGACCCAATTGGGGCTAACCTAGGTAAGGAATTTTCGACTCAGTGCTGAGAAGCCTCTGATAGGCATTAAGTGGTCTCTAAATGGTTGAACCACTTCTAAGACAAGATTATGTTCTCTTGAAAATGTACAGTTTTCATGCTTACTTTTAATAAGTGACTTTTCCAGTGTGATCTCTATCATTTCCGAAGTTCTTCATACCTTCCTGAAGATCTGTGTTTATATCTGGTAGCACTTCCCTCCAATCTGAACTTTCTCCTGCATTTCTTATACTGCAAATCTTTGGATGACAAATTCTTGGCATTTACATTTGTCTGAAAATAGATTTAATTCATCTTCATTCTTGAAAGAATTTTTCTCTGCATACAGAATTCTGAATAAACTGATATTTTTATTTCTTCATGCACTTTAAAAATCTTGTTCCCCTGATTTCTGGCCTATATTGTTCCTGAAAGAAATCAAACTGTTCAAATTGTTTCCTTGTATGTAATGTATTAGAGAGGTTTGTTGTTTTTTTTTTCCTGGCTGCTTTTAAGTTTTTCTATTCTACCTTTACTGAGGAATATAATTGACATACAGTACTGTATAAGTTTAAGATAGTATGATTTGACATCATACAGCAGTATGATTTGACCTACATAGATTGCAAAGTGATTATCACCATAAGTTTAGCTAACTAAAGAGTTTCTGTTTATGTTTACTTTTCAGCAATTTGACTATGGTATTTTTAGACAAACCTTTTTCACACGTATCCTGCTTGGGGTTTATTGAGCTCTTTGAATATATAGATTAATGCCTTTCATCATATTTGAGATATCATCAACTATTTTCTTCTTCAAGTATTTTGAGTGATTCAATCTCTTCTCTCTGTGATTCCAGTTAGTTTCTCTCTGTCCTTCAGATTGAATAAATTTGTATTGTTCTCTAAGTTCTCTCTTTGTTCTGCCATCTCTATTCTAGAATTAAGCTCATCCACTTACTTTTATTTTGGATACTGTACTTTTCAGTTTTAGAATTTCCGTTTGGTTCTTTTTTAAAGTTTCTGTTTCTCTGCCAAAATTTCCTGTCTTTTCGTTCATTGTGATCATATAATAGCTGGTTTAACTCCTTGTCTGCTAACTGCCCTATCTGGTTCATTTCAACTTTGATCTCTGTTGATTGTCTTTTATTTTTAAAATGGGTCACCTCATACCAGTTCTTTGTATGTCAAGTAATCTGGGGCCTGGATTTTATAAATATCTTGCTTTTAATGTTTTTGCTGTGTTCTATTATGTTCATTCTGTTATTGTCTTCTGAAGAAGGTTGTCTTTGGTTTATTTTGTTGTTTTTTTTTTTACATTTTTTTATTAATGTTTTTTATTTATTTTTGAGAGACAGAGAGAGACAGTGCGAGCAAGGCAGGGTCAGGGAGAAAGGGAGACAGAGAATCCAAAGACAAGCTCCAGGCTCTGAGCTAGCTGTCAGCACAGAGCCCAATGCGGGGCTCAAACCTACGAACCATGAGATCATGACCTGAGCTGAAGTCAGACGCTTAACCGACTGAGCCACCCAGGCTCCCCTGGTTTCTTTTGTTTTAATGATCAATTTACTTAATAGAATTTAAGCTGGAAATGCCCTCTCTTATATGGCAGTTCAAATCTCAGGTCAGTTATTTTTTTTCTTTTAACTCTTTATTATTTTTTTAAATAGTTTATTGTCAAGTTGGTTTCCATATAGCACCCAGTGCTCATCCCCACTAGTGCCCTCCTCCATGCCCATCATCAGGTCAGTTCTTTTAGACTTAGCTGTGTTGTTTGGAATCTGCCCTGTGCTTCCATGGTTCAAGAGTCATGCAGAAATTTGAACAGATATTATATAGAGAATTTGGTTCTCTCTCTCTCTCTTTCTCTGGTTGTCTCCTTTCTGGGATCCCCTCCTCACTTTCCTACAGCTCTCTCCTTGATTGCTTTAGGACATAAAGACCAGATTTTCTATGAAAAATGTAGTCATCCTTTGAAGTGCTAACTATGGTCTGGTGTCAGACTAAACGGTCCTTAAAAACTGAGAAACTCACATCCTTCTTCCAAGTGTCAGCAATTCTTTAGGATATGCCTGCTTTTGTTTGCTCTCCAGTGCTGTCAAGTAGTTAGGGGTTTGGCTTGGTCTGATTTTGTGTTTTGTTCAGAGTATAGTTATTATCCATTGAAGAGTTGATCTGATAGAAGTTCACTCCTGACAGCTCATTTTTGCTCTAACTTCTAAACTTGAAAATGTTAGATTAAGAATTCTGGTGAGGAAGTCTGTAAGTGGAGAGGGAAGAGGATGGAAAGGAGCAAAATGAAAGGTCTTGACATGGGAAGGTGAAAATGGCAGAACACTAAAAAGAAAGCCCAAAAATCCACATAAGAGGTGAGAAGTCTTTTATTACCGACAGTACTTTCTAATATAGGAGAGATATAAGAATCATCAATGGCCAGAGCTCTGTATATGGAATGAATGCCTTATGAAAGACAGAATGTACAGTCTGCTTTGTCTATTGAGACAGTTTCCACCCTAACATGCCTGTTTGCCCTTGCCTTAAGATTACTCTGAAGTTTTGTCATATGTCAAAAAACTCAGCTTTATCTTATCCTTAACTCTGTTCATTTCTTCAACATTTTCAAAGCTTTCCCACCTAAAAGGCATAACTTTTAACCTTAGGAAATTCGCAACATACATAATGATGAATTAATGGGAATCAGGCGAGAAGAAGAAATGGAGATGTCTGATGATGAAATAGAAGAAACAACAGAAACAAAAGAAACTGAGGAATCAGGTAAAGATAATTCTTCTTTGTTTCATTTAGTTAACAACTGCTTGCAGGGATATTTTAAAACTTTTAACACTCAGTAAGATATGGGTACAAAACCATCAGTCTGGAACCAGCGAGAAACAATTGGTAAAGCCATCTAAGTACATAGTGGCTGAATATCAACCCTGTGGCTATAGGATCTTCTTATTTACTCCAGTCTTCCATCATACTACCTAATTGAAAGTGAACTTTGTTTTCTTAGGAGTGCTAGACATTTGGGCAACATTGTTCTATATTTGATTTTAACTTATGAATAATATGTTCTACAGTAGGAATCATGAGAGCTTATACATAAATAGATAAGTAGCCAAACATTTACAAAAGTAGTTAGATCCCTACATCACTTATACCTTACACCAAAATTAGTAACAGATGGAATTAAGATTCAAAAGTTTAAAAAAAACAGCAAAAGAAATTATGGAAAATGTAGGAGTTGGTTATATAATTGGGGATGAAGGTCTCCAAAGGTAGAAATCATAAAAGATACTTTTGATAAATTTATCTTCATATAAATTAAATATTTTTCCTTAAGGAATCACAAAGTTAAAAGAGACTCTACCCACTAATGGGAAATATCTATTTTATATGATAGTCTACCTATCTGCTGCCTTTTATCGTGGTTACTGGTTACCTAGGAGTTTATTGGGAGCCAAACAGAGTCTACAGACAAATATCTTGGTAAAAGCTTTTGCTCTTACATAGTTAGTATACTCAGGCCTTCAGTGTGAGGCCACAATGTGGGTCCCCAGTGCTTCAATTTTATAACAAACCTTACAAGAGGGAGGGAATTACCAGAGGGGAGATTAAGATATCAAACCAGTGTTTTCAGGTAAGCCATTCCAGACAATCTTAGGAGTGAGTAAGGTATAGTGGACAAAGCATCAGACCTAAAGTTAGGGCAGCTGAGTTCTAGTCCAAACTGTTTTTCTTGACACAGAAAGGACTTCTGTCCTACTGAGCCTCAGGTTTTTTAGTTGTAAGAAGTATATTATACAACCATCTAACAGGAATGTTGCGATGGCTAAATAAATTCATTCATTCACTTAATAACTATTGCATGGCAAGCACTGTGCTAGAGACATTGGAGATATTGTAGTACACTGTCCCTACTGTGTGTGTGTCTGTGTGTGTGTGTGTGTGTGTGTGTGTGCGCGCGCGCGCCTGTGTGTGTGTGAGAGAGACACACAGAAACAGAGAACCTATTGATTATAATGCAAACCAGAACTTCTTGGTTCCAGTACTTGCATATTGAAGTCAGCAGCTCTATAGCCATTTGAGTGGTACTAGAATCTTCACTCCATCAAGAGAAACTCTTAAGGAAAGAAAACCACCAAGTCAGACTTTTAAAGAGGCATTTGTGGAGGTTACATCTGAATTTCCTCTATTTCTGCCACATGTTAGATCCCTAAACATATAAATCTCCATATATACTGAATAAATCCTTTGTAATCAGTAGATAGTTAGCGTTTTCAGAACAGTGAACTAATTACTATAAACACATACAATAAACTTATAGCTAAAAAAACAAGAGTTTAATAGTGAAAACATTAACACAACAAGAGTTAAATAGTTTGAATTGAGCTATTCAAATTATTTAATTGCTTAGCCAAGATGTTTTATAGCTGACTAATCTTTGACATATAATTGTCTCCATCTCAGGATCTGAAGTATTATATAGTGTTAATCCAGTATTATCCTGAAATGAATGTGATCATAAGTTTGAGTATTTACTTGATAAATTGCTGAGTTTGAGGGGTTATTGGGAGAGGGGGTTGTATGGGAGATTCAGATTAAATGCACTTACTAGTGTTATATAATTGAGTTTTCCTTCTGTATCTCTTTTGAGTTAAAAGCTGTATTGGCTACTGCACAGAATCTTATTCCGTTAGAGACTGAAAACTCCCTGACAGATCATCTTATAGCTATTTTCTTTCCTGTTCCACATGCCAGGATGCTGCTTTGTCAAATAAAGCTATCTACAATAGACTTAATGGAGCTTACCAAATAGCTTTTCTCCCAGAAGGTTTCAATTTATTTTAATTCAAGGACTTTTGTGCATTTTTCCTCCCCTCGATCGTATCTAATTTTGTTATCTTGCTTGTGTAGTAGTCAGCTGCAGAATCTTGGTCAGTGTAAGTCAGTGAGTGGATCACCAGTTTTTATCTAAATCAGCTACATGTTTTAGTTATCACTTGGTTCCAATTAAAGGCTTAAGCGCCAGATCTCAGAGTTGTTGTTTCTCTCCATGCTACCAAACTTGAATTCCAGGAGCCTATAGCATACTCTGGTTAAATTTTACTTCCCAGAGTAAGTAAGGTTCAAAGCTGGCCTAGCAGTCTCAGTTACCTTTCTTTGGAGTGCCACAAATTTCTATTCCTCAAGAGACTCTATATTACCTGGCCCACATTTGTGATACAGTACTGGAAATATTCTTGCCATGGAAGAAAGGACTGCTGTTCTCAAAGCAATGTATTGAAGAGGCAATCACATCAAAGCAAATCATGATAGTGGAAAACTGTTTCATTCTAATAATGGCCATGATGGAAAGTACATGTGCCCAGTAAACCTAAGAACAGCTGTTGCTTTTCAGCATATCTTTTGTCTGCCTTCTCCACTTGGACTAGTGGTTCTCAGAGCTGGTATATATAAGAATCATTGTGTTACCTTTAAAAAGTCTGATTTTTGCACTGCAGGGTTTGATTAAGTAGGTCTGTAATGGAGTTCAGGAATTTGCATTTTATCAGGCATCCAAAACGATTTTGATGCTGGTGGTCCAGGGAGAACATTTGGAAAACATTGACTCATTCTCTTGCATTATTCTAGCCGAAGTTTTCACTTCTCTTGGTATCCAATCTTCTTCTTTCCTTCCTCCCACTTCTCATTATTCCCTCTTTAAGAGTTTTATCAGTTAATTAACAAGCACTGCATCCAATAAGCTGATGAAAATAGGGGGTACAATTAGGTAAATTTACATAAAATATAAGAAATACCATTTGCTGCTAATCTGTAAGGTACTGATTAGAATGCAGCAAGAGCAAGAGATATTACTGTGGCCAGAGTAGTTGCAGTCAATGAAAATTAATCAGGACCTTAAACAATGGACATGTTTAGATGAGAAGAGGGAAAGTAAGAAAATATCTTGATATGGAGGAAGGAGAGGAGAAGGAACAGAGCTCAAAGAGGGAAATAGGATAATGGGTATAGAGGGATAAAATATAGAGTGGACAAGGTAGGTCCAGATTATGGGGAACCATGAAGCCAAGGTTACATTTAGCATAATCGACAATATGGCACTATAAGCATATCTCAATTATGGTGCTAGTATGGTAAAAGTAACATGAATTATATATTTTAGGAAATAATTTTGGATAAAGAGAGATCTATCAGAGACTTTTATAGGAATTTAGATATGAAATGGTGAAGCCCAGGACTAGAGTAAAGGTAACAGAAAATTAGATTAAATGGTGGAAGAAAAGAACACAACAGATATTATGAGATTAAAGATGCTAGGAATCACTTCAGAAGAGTAACTAAAGTCTTTGACACCAGATTTGTATAGATGAGGAAGAAAAACCAAGAACCTGAGATTAGGCTAGGTCTTCTAGTCTGGGAGACTGAAGCGTCAGTGGTTGTATTAGTTTGCTAGGTACTGCAACAAAGTACCACAAACTGAGTTTTATTGCCTCATAGTTTTGGAGGCCAGAAGTCTGAGATTAAGGTGTCATCAGCGTGGGTTCGTATTGAGGGCTGTGAGGGAGAATCTGTTCCATGCCTCTCCCAGCTTCTGATGGTTTGTTGGCAATCTTTGATGTTCCTTGGCTTGTAGATGCATCACCACAATCTCTTTTTTCATGTGTACATGACATTCTCCCTGTTTACCTGTCTCCTTTTTATAAGTACACTGGTCTTATAAGTCCATAAGCCCACCAGAAAGACCTCATTTTAACTTGATTACCTCTGCAAAGATCCTATTTCCAAATAAGGTCACATTCTGAGGGCTTCAACATAAAGTTATTGGGGGGGGGGTATAAATTAAATCCATAATAGTAGCACTGACAGAAATGTACTAGTGCATGGGACTGATTTATAGAATATGAGATCAGTTTCAGTAGGTAATTATGAAATAGATTTAAGAGATTTGTATTGAAATCAGGGTTGAAGAAAGTATAAGGAATAGAAGATGCTAGTACAGAGGTGTTGGCTGAAGCTTGGAGAATATGAATGACTGATAGTGAAAGACAAGTGAGAGAAAGATGAGTAAAAGGCTAAATACAGAACTTTGGTGGCCACCCACAGTAAGGGTGAAGGAAAGAAAGAGGAGACTACAGAGGAGTTAGAAAAAGAGCAGTCTAAGAGGCTGGAAGAAAACTAGAAAAACATTGGATTATAGAGCCGACAAGAAGAATTTATAGAAGTAGGAATAAGCAACATTATCAGATATTCTAAAGAAGAAAGGAATCTAGGACAGTGATGAGCAAGAACTATTTTAATAAGGTGATAGAGGTAGGGGCCAGAACATATGACATTGAGGAGAGAAAGTGGACACAGATCACAGGTCAAAAAGTTGGGTGCTGAGCAAAAGCAAATGCAAGTATTATAAATGGTAACTGGAATTGGTAACAAAGTTAAAGTTCAGTTGTTGTTTGTTGTTCAGTAGAAGGGAAGGAGGCCATGGAGTGAGGTTGAAGATGCTTGAGAATGAAAGAGTACTTATGGGTAATTACGGAAGTGGAATCCTGGAGAAGAATGGGAAGTGATCCAAATTCAGGTGGAGTTTTCTTCATAGAGGCAAGAATCCTCTTCCTCTGAGATAAGAGAGGTGAAGCTAAAAGTATATATGCATCCCATGCTTTTCCATACAGCAAGAGATTGGTCAACCTTTGATTAGGGAAATGATTTGGAAATGAGTCCATGAAGAGGCAGGAGCAGACCTGGAATAAATGCCCTGGGCAGGATGAAAGGAA